GGCTCCTGCGCCTCATCCCCCACATCCGCGTCTTCGCCAGGGTGGCGCCCAAGCAGAAGGTGCGGGGGGTTGGGAATGGGAATTCCTGGGATTTGGGATCTTCGGGAATGTGGGGATGGCCCCAGGGTGAGCCCAGAGAGTCTAGAGTTCGTTCCAGCTCTGAATTCCTGGGATTTTGTGGGTTTGGGAATGGGGGGATGGCCCTGGTATGATCCTAAAGAATCCTGAGCCTCTTCCAGCCCTGAATTCCCAGAATTGTGAGCCTTCTCACCAATCCCACCCCACTCCGAGCTGGGAATTCTGGGATTTTGGGAGCTTTTCCCGCTGTTTTTCCGGGCAGGAATTCGTGATCACGGCGCTGAAGAGCCTTGGCTACTGCACCCTGATGTGTGGGGATGGCACCAACGACGTGGGAGCGCTCAAACACGCCGATGTGGGTGAGCACATTCCCAGAATTCCCCAGATTTGCCCCAAATCCCCACCCCAGCCATGCCGGTCCCACTGTTTCCCAGCTCTTGGAGCTGGAAAATGGAAAAAGAAGGGAATTCCAGGTTTTCCTGGGGGCTTTTCCCTTGTTTTTCTCCGTGCCTTTCCCATTTTTCCCTTGTTCTTTCCTGTGGGTTTTCCCTGGTTTTTCCCCATTTTCCCCCAGTTTTCCCCTGATGTCTCCCTGTTTCCCCTGCCCAGGCGTGGCCCTGCTGGCCAACGCTCCGGAGCGCGTTCCCGAGCGGAAGCGGCGGCCCCGGGACGGCGTCGGGGACAGCAGGGCCGGAATTCCCGCCGGGAATGTCAAACCTTCGTCCCGAGGAGCCAAGCAGCGGCTCCTGGCCCAGCGGGAGGAGCAGATGGCCGTGCACAGGGTGGGAATTCCCATTTATCCCAGGAGTTTTAGCCCTGGCATTGAGTCGGGAATTGGGATTTAGCCAGGAATTTTCAGCCCTGGGAGCGGAGGGATTTAGGAATGGGAATGCTGGGATGGTTTGGGTGGGGATGGATCCGATCCCAATCCTGTCCTAATCTGTGGGCAGGGAGCTTCCCAAAATTCCAGGGGGATCCCATGGGAAAAGAGAGGGAATTCTAATAGGAAAAGGGATAACGTGGAATAAATGCAGGAGTTGTGGAGGTTGGAAGTGACATAAAACCAGGGAATAAACCCTGGAATTCTGTGGGCTGGAAGGGACCTGAGATCTGGGGTAAACAGGGAGTAAATCCTGGAATTCTGGAGTTGGAAAGGCGCCTCCAACCCCATCACCCCAGATCCCAAACTTGCTCTTTTCCCTCTGGATTTGCATGGATTTGGAGCGCATTTTCTGGCCCTCCTATGTGATTTTGGTTTTTTTGGGAATTTCCAATCCCGCAGGAGCGGCTGAGCCAGGTGCTGAGGGACCTGGAAGAGGAGAGGGCCCCCGTGGTGAAGCTGGGGGATGCCAGCATCGCCGCCCCCTTCACCTCCAAACTCTCCTCCATTCAGTGCAGTGAGTGCCCAGCCCGGGAACAGCGGCAAAAACCCTGGGAATGGGGGGAAAAGCCCCAAAGCTGAACAGCCCTGAGCTCAGCATTCCCAAAATGTGGAGCTCTTGGCCTCAGGGCTTGAGGCTGAGGGTTAACCTTGGTTTTATCCTGAGCAGTCCTGAGCCCATCCCATCCTCAAATCCCCAGTTCCCGCCCTTTTTTCCCTCACCCTCTTCCCCCTGGCATTCCCCCAGTTCCTGACTCCCGCAATTCCCGTTTCTTCTTCTTCCCAGTCTGCCACGTGATCAAGCAGGGCCGCTGCACACTGGTGACCACGCTGCAGATGTTCAAGATCCTGGCTCTGAACGCGCTGGTGCTGGCCTACAGCCAGAGCGTGCTCTTCCTGCAGGGCGTCAAGTTCAGCGACCTGCAGGCCACGCTGCAGGGGCTGCTGCTGGCCGGCTGCTTCCTCTTCATCTCCCGCTCCAAGGTGGGAATTCCCTGGGAAAGGGGGTGGGCTAGGGAGAAATACAAAAAAAATCCAAAAAAAAAAAAAAAAAAAAAAAAAAAGATCCCCCCCAAAAAAAATCCAGTTTGGGATTTTATTCCTGTTTTTTCCAGCCCCTGAAGACCCTTTCCAAGGAGAGACCCCTTCCCAACATTTTCAACCTGTACACGGTGCTGACGGTGCTGCTGCAGTTCCTGGTGCATTTCCTGAGCCTCGTGTTCCTCTACCGGGAAGCTCAGGCCCGCAGCGAGCCCAGGTGAGGCCCTGATCCCGGAAAATTCCCAAAGAATTCCGGGATTGAACAAAAAATATCTAGGGTTTCCCCCCCCCCAGTTCCTGCTACCCCAGCATCCCCTGATCCCATAAAAACCACTCCAGTGAGCATTTCCTATGGGAATTCCATCCCAAGGAATTCTGATGGATAAAAAACGCCAAATCCCCCAGGATTCTATCCGTTCCCATGGATAAAAAACCCCCCAAAAAATTCCCATTTTCCCACTCCCAACCCATTTTAGACCTAATCCTACCCCTCTAACAATGAGGATTTTTTGGGGAATAGATCCCGGGTGGGTCCCAGGGCTGATCCCAGAGCTGATCCCAGTTTCCCGTGGCAGGGAGGAGGAGTTTGTGGATCTGAGCCGGGAGTTCGAGCCCTCGCTGGTGAACAGCACCGTGTACCTGCTGGCCATGGCCATGCAGACGGCCACCTTCGCCATCAACTACAAGGTGGGAAACCCGGAATGTTCCCTTTTCCCACTTCCCCTGCCTTCCACAACGTGGGAAACCCCGAATATTCCCATTTTCCCCACTTCCCCTGCTTTCTCCAAGGTAGGAAACCCGGAATGTTCCCCTTCCCACACTTTTCCCTGCTTTTCCCCCTTTTTCTCCACGTTTCCCTATTTCCGTTCCCCAGTGCCATCAAACCCCATTTTACGGCCCCAAAGCCTCTCACAATCAGCTCCCAGTGCCCTCCNAAAATCCTGCCAGAAACCGGGAAAACAGGAAAAATGGGGGAAAACGGGACAAAACAGGAAAAAGGAGCAGTCAGTGACACGTGGTGGAACTGAGGGACGTGCAGTGACAAGTGGGTGACACCCAGGTGCCACCTCCCAGGCCAGGTGTCCCCAAAGCACTCAGGGACAGCGAGTGGCCCAAGGGGACACTGGCGTCCCCTCCCTTGGGGACAGGAACCGTTGCCTTGTGCCAAGGCCACCAGGCACTGTCACCCGTCCCTGTTGTCACCCCATCAGTGCCACCACCGGGCCAGGCCCTGCTGTGTCCCCGCTGTCACCCTGCCGCCGTCCCCGGTGTCCCCCTGTCCTTCCCAAGGACACCCCAGGCAGGCGACAGCTGGCATGTGTCACCCCCCCCGGGGCCTGGTGACACCCCCAGGTGACAACTGCCCCCCTCATTGTCCCCAACAGCCCTCCCCAAATTAACCCCCCTGAGGCTTTATTGCCCCCCTCCCAAACTTTATTGCCCCCTCATGGTGTAATGCCCCCCCTCATCTTTCTTGCCCCACCTTATCTTTATTGCCCCGTTATCTTTACTGCCCCCCATTCTATTGCCCCACTTTCTTTATTTTCCCCCCGTCTTTATTGCCCCCATCTTTATTGCCCCCATCTTTATTGCTCCCCCTTATCTTTTTTGCTCCCCCAAGCCCCTATTGCCCCCACAACCGTTATTGCCCCTCCCGGGGCCGTTATTAGCCCCCCACGAGGTAATTTCCCCCCTCACATCCTAATTGCTCCGTCACAAGTTACCCCCCCCAGGCCCTTATTTGCCCCTCCCCGGGCTGTTATTACCCTCTCATTAATTACTTACTCCTTGCATCTTAATTGTCCGCCCATGAATTGCCCGTCCCAAGCCGTTACTGCCCCTCCCATGCCGTTATTGCCCCCTCCTGTGCCGTTATTGCCCCTCCCGGGCCGTTATTGCCCCCCCANGCACCTGAGGGGACACCACGGGGAACAGGTGAGCACCTGCAGGGGACAGGGGGGGCACACGGAAGGCACCAACGGGGCAGGGGACAAAGCAAGGGACAGGAGAGGGACCACCAGGGGCACAAAGGGCGATGGGGAGGGTGACAGGAACAGGGTGGCAGGAACAGGAAGGTCACTCAGGAGGTGACACCCTTCAAAGGACGGTGACAAGGCTGGGGTGGCCCCTCTCGGACTGGCCCAGGGCAGGTCTCCAATGAGCCACCACCCTCCATGTCCCTCCCGTGTCCCCAGGTGTCCCCAGGCTCACGTCCATGCGTTTGCTCTCGTAGAAGTCGGCCGAGCGCCGGTCCTGGACCATCTTCTCGATGATGTCCCCGCGGCTCCAGCCCTCAAACACCAACTTGCCGTGCTGGTACCCCACGTCCTGGGGACAGGGGGCAGTGGGCAATGGCCTAGACACCCCCAAGGTGGCCCAGGACACCCCCAAGATGGCCCAGGACACCCCAGTAATGACCAGAACACGGCAGTGGCAACCAGGGCACTCAATTAATGGTCAAGGACACCCCAAGTGATGATCAGGACCCCCAAGTGATGGTCAAGAACATTCAACAGATGGTCAAGGATATCCAGTGATGATCAAAGAACCCCAACGATGACCAAAGAACCTCAACAAAGACCAGAGAACCCCAACAGTGACCAAAGGACCCCAACTCTCATCTGGAGCCCCTCAGCCCAGTGCCCCCCAGCCATCCCCAGCCCCAACTCACGTAGATCTCGTCGAACTTGCCGAAGTCCATGGTCTTGAAACGGTCGATGGGTGGCCGGATGTACTCACAGTAGGAGCTGGACTTCACCACCTCGAGCTGCCGCACGCAGGACACGTAGGCCAGGCGCGACTGGATCTCCGCCATGTCCGGCACCTGCCAGGACCGGACACTCGGGACGCGTCCGGCACCTCGTCATCGTCATCATCGTTGCCATTGTCTTGCTCATCATTGTCATTGTCATCATCGTCATTGTCATCGTCATCATCATCATCGTCATCGTTATCATCACGATTGTCATCCTCACCATCCTCATTTGTCACCATCATGTCATCACCATCCCTTGATGTCCCCCAGCACCTTCTCCACCCTGAGCCATCTCCACCAGCTTGTCCCCTGCTGTCCCCGATGTCCCCTGGTGCCACCTCCCGCTGTCCCCCAGGGCCACCCCATGCTCTCACCTTGACCTTCTCGGCCCAGGGGTTGAGGCGCTTCCAGAGCAACCACCATCCGGACAGGGAGTCGCCGTAGTTGCACAGGTCGGTCTCGTCCTGGCTGCCCACGTCGATGGCGATCACCGTCTTGGCGCCCATGTTGCGCGCGATGTCGGCTACGGGATGGACAGACGGACACTGGGCAGTCAGCGGCGCCAGGGGGCACCAGGGCTGGGGTGAAGGGTCGAGGTGTCATGGGGAGGGGACACTGGGGGACAAGTTGGTGGAGACAGCTCGGAGGGGTAGGAGGATGGAGAAGGTCCTGGGGGACACCAAAGGATGATGATGATGGTGATGATGATAGAGGAAGGTGGCTTCAGACCCAAAGACGCCACCAGAGTCACCCAATGTGGTGGGAATGAGGCTGCAGGATGGAGGAAGATTCCCCAGCACGTGGAGGGGACAAGGGTGACCTCCCAAGGCCACCAGAGGTGACACAGAATGCCCAGAAGAGGCCTGGAGAGGACATCAAGAGATGGAAGGAGGTGAAGGAGGATGGAAAGGACATCTGGAGATGGGAACATCCAGAGATGGACAAAGGTGGCCCAGGAGGTCACCAAGTTCACCCAGCGCAGGATGGAGACCGAGCTAGGGGAAGGATGGAAACCACCCAGGAAAGGACCTGGGGCCAGCACCAGAGGTGACAGCAGGAGGTGACACCAGGAGATGACACCAGAAGGTGACAGAGGGTGGAGATGCCCCAAGAAGCTGACCAGCACTGAAGACATCAAGAGATGATGGAAGAGGGATGGAAGATAGATCCTGTGCATGAAGAAACCTGGAATGTTCTGGAAAAACTGCCTGGCATGGAAAAAGCACCAGGAGATGGTGGAAGATGTATGGATGAATCCTGACCAGGAAAATCCACGGAGTGTTCTGGAAGAACTACCCAACAGGGAAAAGGCGTCAAGAGATAAAGAAAGACAGGTGGATGCTGCACATGGAAAACCCACCAGGAGAAGATGGAAGATGGATGGATCCTGACCATGAAAATCCATGGAACATTCTGGAAAATGTTCCCACCCAACACAGAAAAAATCCACTGCCAGACAGGAGGTGGCCATCCCTCGCCCATTGATGCCGCCAAACCGAGCCAGAGGCGTCCCCGCTCCGCCCTGGCTGTGTCCGTCCGTCCGTCCACCCCACACTTGCCTGGCAGGTTGTTGATGTACCCCCCGTCCATCAGGAGGT